TCTGCAGCGGGGCCGCCTCCACCTCCCACTCAGAAGCCAGTCAGGCCTGTCCACAAAGCTCCTGCTCTGTGCCCGCGCAGTACAGTGGGGGAGACATTGCTAATTGGGGGGCGCTCCCAGAGGGGAGTCTCCGCGGCGAGTGGCGGTGGAGGGGCCCAGGCACACCGTCTCCAGCCGCGATACCTGGGCTGAACCTCAGCCTGTCACCTCATGCCTAGTGAGCTGAACCAGCTGCGTCACCGTCGTGTGCCTCAGTTTCCCCACGTGTATAATGGAAATGATGACAATCAACAGGACCTTTTCGAGGAGTTGCCATGAGGACTACCGGGTAAGTTCTGGACTTAGAACGGTAGCATTCCGGGCCAGCCGCGGTGGCTCACGCCTGTAATCCCAGCACTTTGGGAAGCCGAAGCGGGTGGATCACGAGGTCAAGAGATCGAGACCATCCTGGCCAGCATGGTGAAACCCCATCTCTACTAAAAACACAAAAATTAGCTGGGCGTGGTGGAGCGCACCATAGTCCCAGCTACTTGGGAGGCTGAGGCAGGAGAATTGCTTGAACCCGGGAGGCAGAGGTTGCAGTAAGCCAAGATGGCACCACCGCACTCCAGTCTGGGCGACAGAGGGAGACTCCATCTCAAAAAAAAAAAAAAAAAAAAAAAAAAAAAAAAAAAAAAAAAAAAAAAAAAAAAAGAACGGTAGCATTGTGCAGGGGAGGAAAAGTAGAAAACTAGAATCTTTCCTCACCCATTGCTGGGTTCATGGCTAGGACCCCTATAACAAAAGACAGGTCAACAAGAGAAAAGCACACAAATTTATTTCATGTAAATTTTACATGACACAGGGACCTTCAGAAATGAAGACCCAAAGAAATGGGGACATGTATTTTTATGCGTTGGTTTCGTGAAGAGTGGGCATTGTGGAGAAGTGATTGGCTAAAGGGGGAAAGGATAATAAAGTGGGGAGAGTTGGCCAGGCCTGTTCAGATTATTCTCTCTGTCCCTGTGTCTTCAGAGGTAAGGATGGGCCTTATGGCCTCATGGTCCTACTTCAGGGGATTTGGGCGAAGGGAAGGTGAGTGAGGCCTTCCTGCTTCTGCTGTTTTCTTAAATGCCAAGGTGCCATATTTCGGGGTGATGTGTCCTGAACCCTGGCAGTGTGTTCAATAAACAAACATGGAGTGTGTGGCAGGCATGCCTGTCCCCTGGATGTGAGGCTTTATGCAGGCTTTAGCTCCTCAGAATGACCCCCTCTGCCCCCCAGATGCCTCATGGCCCAAGGTCCCTCTGATGCAACTACACCACCCCAGCCTGCTGGCTTTGGGTGGCCTGAAGGCCGTAGCTTGCCAGGTAACTTTCCAGACAGTCTGAGGCTCAGAGGTGAATTCCCTGATAAGATGCCATACATACTTCTCATGAGAGTGTGATTTATTAACAAGGTGCACGACTCCAGCCCTCTGGGGAGCCACCCAAGGCAGCCCGCACTAAGGTGGAGCACGCACCTGGCGCTAGCCATCCCTTAGCCCAGCAGTCACTGACTGTGGCCTTGATCTGGGGTCTTGGGAGGGGCTTAGCCCACAGGTTGAGGGTCAGGGCACTCACAAGGCTCCAAACCCACCAGGCCCTTGCCACCTAAAGTGGGGTCCACTTGGCCAGGTGCCGTGGCTCGTGCCTGTAATCTCAGCACTTGGGGATGCCGAGATGGGAGGATTGCTTGAGGCCAGGAGTTTGAGACCAGCCTGGGCCACATAGCTAGACCTGTCTTCACAATATCAAAAATATTAGCTGGGCATGGTGGGGTGCACCTGTGGTCCCAGCTACTCAGGGTGCTGAGGTGGGAGGATCGCTTGAGTTTGGGAGTTTGAGGTTGTAGTGAGCCATGATCACACCACTACACTCTAGCCTGAATGACAGTGAGACCTTGTCTGGGAAAAAAAAAAAAAAAAAAGTTGAGTCCACATATCTCAGTTAGGGCCCCAGGCTTTCTGAGTCAATCTGCATTTTAACAAGATCCCCAGGAGATTTGAGAGTATGTTGCAATGTGAGTGAGAAGCACTGGGTTAGAGTAAGCTACCTTCCCTCCATGAGCCTCAGTTTTCCTAACCGAAATAAAAATCGGGGGGCTAGAATACCTTTGGCTTCTTTTCCAGTGCTAACACACTGGGAGCTAGACCTTTGGTGTGACCATCTGCAGGGCTATCAGTTCCTCTCCTCTTCTGTCTGCTTTACCCCTCCTCTCTGTTGGAGGTGCACAATTTCGCAGGTCTTGGGATACAGCACATGCAATTCAATCTGCTTCAACAACATAGATTGAGTTCCTTCCGTGTGCCAGGGTCTGCAGCAGTGAATCCCCACCCTGGCTGTACATTAGAATCATCTGGGTTGCTCTGTAAACTCCCGATGCCTGGGTTCCACCCCAGGCCAGTGGAACTGGAGTCTTTGGGGGCGAGGCTGGGCATGGGTATTTATTAACATGCTTGGACCATTACAATGCACAGCCAGCTTGAGACTGGTCAGAAACGAGAAACAAGGCTACTGTAAGATCTACGCAGGCCTGTCGCCCATTCCTGCTTCCTTCTCTTAGGCCGGCCAGCTACAGCAGGTCGGGCTGCAAGTCAGGAGAAATCACTGGGAAATCCCCTGGATATAGTAACACATGACAGCACCATCGAATTAATCATCAACCTGTAACGTGATCTCTGGCCCATAAAAAGCAGACCTGCTGAATCTTTGGTAAACTGTCCACTAGACTTCTCCAGGCAGTTCCTTCTAGACCTGGGGACCTACGCCCGAGGACCTTAGACTGATGGGTGCCCAGCTCTGCTTCGAGGCCAGTGAGTAGACCTCCTGCGAGCCCTGAGCTTGGTCTCTGGACTGGGGGTACAGGTAGTGGAGGGGTGCTCTGTGTTATTGCTGGAGTAGAGATGTGGCCATTGTAAAGTTTAGGGGGCTGGTGGGGTCCCAGTTCTGCCGAGTTGAGCTGTGGGCAAGTCACTTTGTCCCTGAGCCTCAGTTTCTACATCTCCAGGCTGGAGACAATGCCTGCTGGCTTACAGGGATCTTTGTAAAATCAAACACACAAATCAAAAGAGTGATAGGCACAAAGCTTCTCTGCGAGCCTCACCGGAGGCCACAGGTGTCCAGGAGTGGAAGGGCCATGTGCGGGGGAGATAGAGGACCTGGTCTTTTAGCACCAGTGATTGGAGTTGGGCATCTCTGGACCTGCCCTCCCAGGTAAAGAGCTGGGAGCCTGGGCTCAGGGCCTTTGGTTCCCTGGTGGGCACCACGGGTTCACAGACTAGTAGTTGGCTGTGCCAAGAGCTACTGCTGCTGTCACAGTAATGTTGTTTGGCAGGGAAATGACAGGCCTGAAAGGAGGTGGTGTAGGAGTGCAGCAGCCAGGAGCGGGGCTGGGATCCCCCACTTTCTGGCTGCAAAAACACAGATGACTAGCACAGTCTTCTCGAGCTCTGAGGGCTTCCCCCGAGGCGGGGTGAGGAGAAAAAGAGGCTGCAAAGTGCCTGTGGGTGCCTGACACCCTGAAAGGCTTGATGCCTGGAGGAGTGGTGAGGATGGAGATCCCTGGAGGCTCTCGCTGAGCAAGGGGCCGCCCCTGCCCCACTCAGCTTCCAAGACCCTGGAGAATCTAGACTCTGAGTCTACCTGTCCCGGAGTAGAGACACCCCAGAGGCCCTGCTTTGCGGCAGGCAGTCCATCCCCTCAGCAGTGGGGACCCCGGAGCAGGTGGAGTAACTGGAGAGATCCCCCATGGGCAGGGCACTCAGCTTCTCTGAGCTCAGGATCCTGCCTGAAAACAGGACCCATAGAAAGAGCGGCCGCCTCTAGGTGTGAGGGTGCTTGGGCACCAGGGTGATCTGAACCCTGTGCCAGCCCAGCCACTGGGGACAGATCTGCTTGAAGAGCCGCCTCTGCCCACCTCTGCCACTCCCCACCCTGGGAGTGAGGTGTCCCGGGCTGCCCAGGTCAAAGTGTGGGAGGATCCCTGCAGGCGTCGTGGGAGGAGGTAGGTGGAGTGGAGGTGGCGATCACACCCATCAGGCCGCCCCGACCCCGCTCCAGGCCCAGGCACAGAGCCCTGTGTGAAGTAGGTGGACATGGTCCTGCGGGCCCTTGCCGGGCTGGCGGGGCGAGGGTGGGTTTCAGCCCCACTCGGCCTTGGTGGTGCACAGTGAATAGCTGACATGACCATGCAGACAGACCGAGTCTTCATAGATGAGAGGCTGTGCCCTAAGGGACCTTTTGCTGCCCTGCCAGGTCCCAGGGAGCTGCCCGAGGTAGGGGGCAGAGCCTGAGTGAGCAGCACAGAGGAGGCCACTTAGGTGCCCAGGCTGCAGAGTGACCTGTGCAGCCACCGCATACCCTTGGCACCCACCAGCCCTGGTGACATGAGGACTTAGCTTCACACAGGGCTGCTGAAAAGGCTCCTGAGGCAGGGATTGGGGAGCTTTGCAAACTGTCAAATTATTCTCCAGGGCAAGGCCTGCTTCTCAAGGGCTCCCAGGGCCTGGTGCAACCCTAAGGCCATTCCGGGGGAGTTCCTCTCCTCCCTGGACTGCCTCCAGCCAGCCAGTTCCCTACTTCATCCAGGAAGTGAATGGAGCAGTGAGGTCACCTCCCGTCCTCCACCCCTCCCCGCCCCCAGAGCCAGTCCTGCGTGGAGCCAGCCTCTGTCCCGGGCACCTGCCTAGAGGGTGGGGTGGAAACTCCATCCCCAAACAGGGTGGGTTCATCTCTGCTGGTTCCCCTCTAAGCCCATGGCTCTGAGTGTGACAGGGCTCCAGCTCCCCTGACCCCAGGGGTTCCTCTTTCCCTGTAGGGGCTGCACTGGGTGAGGCTGGGACAACTCCTCATTGACCCTAGTTCTGCCCCTGATTGCTGTGGGCCGGGGCCGGCCACTTGCCCACCGTGTGCCTCTTAGGATGGCAGCAGGATTGGGTGTGGCAGTTTGTGGAGGGGGCTCGGATGCCGGCCACCATCTCTGGCCCTGCCCCTCATCGAGGGCCATTGCTCCAGGCTCTTGCCAAGCCCACTCTAGGGCTTCTCTCTAGTTGCCACCTCAGGGATGGGCAGTGATCCAGCCAAAGGGCTGGCCTCTGCCCTCCTAGATTGTGGCTGGTTGTGCCAAGAGCCCCTGCTTGCCCTGGCACCCTCAGCCCCATGCCTGACCAGGTAGGCAGTGAACAGGACTCCAGACAGGTGTCCCGAGACGCCTGGCCTTGCTGGACATGCACCTCACTGCTGTTTGTGGGTGAGGAGGCTGGGCCCTAGAGGACAGTGACCTGCCTGGGCCAGCAGCAGGGCAGGTCTGGAATGGGGGTGTTAACCATGGCGCAGCCGGGGTCCCACTGCCCTCCATGGAGCAGCCTCAACCATGGGCACAAGGCCAGGTTCACTGATGTCAGGGTCCCCAGCTTGGCTCCAGCTCTCCACGTGTGCTGGCTCTGGGACTTCTCCTTGCCTAGGTGCAGCCTTGAGGCACGGGGAGCTGGGCAGGCCTGCCAGGATTCACGGGGAGGGATGAGTGCATCGCGGGAAGGCACGGGTGGGGCACGGGTGAGGGGTGAATGCAGATACACAGGTCTCTGTGAGAGTCCCAAGGCCATGGTGAGTGCTGGTCCCTAATGCCGGGAAAAGGTCACTGCAGATAGGCTTACCTTTGGCCTGTGGAAGTCAGGGACAGAGTCACTGTCACTGCAAAGGTATCCTGGTGCCTGACCAGATGGAACCTCCTGGGCCTGGGCTCCGCTAGAGGGTGGAAACCTGTGTGTGGTCAGAGTGCCTGCCTTGCCGGGGGAGTGTGACCTGATCTGGGAGGGGAATGGCCTTGCTCCTTAGGCTGGGGTCTGGCTTAAGTTCTGATTGAATTCACCTTTTATTTTCAACAGCAAACAGCCAGCCGGCCAGCCTCCCTCCCCCAGCCCAGAAAGCGCAGGGCCAGGAAGGGAGGGGCAAGGCTGGCTAAGGCAGTTCTTCGGTAGGAATCCCCACGAGCTTCCTGCAGGCTGAGTGGAGAGGAAGGGCTGCCCAGTGAGGTGCTTTCCACTCCTGACCACCAGGCAGAGTCCTGCGGGAAGTCCCCTGGTTTCAGAGCCAGGCTTGACCTCACCCAGGATTCTGAGGGACTAACCTGGGACTCCCTCTCCAGCCTGCACCCATACCATGTGGGGAGCAGCCAGGCCCCTTTCTCTCCCAGGACAAAGACGTCACCATTGCTAGGGGCCGTGGTTTTCACAAATGATGCAGTTCCCCGTGGGAAAATGAGAGAGACAAGCAGAGAAGGAGTAGCAGATGGCCTCCTGGAGCAGACCACAGTCAGCAGATCTGTCTGTCTCCTCCTCCGTCATTTTTAGGTGCATATAGAATAAATAAACGCATGGGCTGAGCGCAGTGGCTCATGCCTGTAATCCTAGCGCTTTGGGAGGCAGAGGCGGGAGGATCACTTGAGGCCAGGAGTTCAAGACCAGCTTGGGCAACACAGCAAGACCTCATCTCTGAAAACAAAACAAAACAGAACAAAACAAAACAAAAGAAAACAAAAAACCATCTATAACAAACGTATAGATATTTATGCCTGACTAACCCTACTCTTTCTCTTGAACAATAATAACCATTATTAGATTGGTCACAGGCAGAGCACAAATAGACATCAGTTCCTACAGTTTTCACAACATCTCTGCAGGAACAGAGAGGCGGAAATTGTCCCTAGGGAAAGGTCGCGGTGGCTCTCAGGTGTGAGGGGCTCTGGGATACTGGGGGCGCTCTGGGGAGCTGGTGGGTCCAGACCCGGCCAGCACTGACACTCCCCGTCCTCAACCCACAGACGCCAAGGCGCCCGCAGCGGCACTTCGCTTCCATGCCGAGACCAAGGGCGCGCAGGTGCGTCTGGACACGCGTGGCTGCACCGCGCACAGGCGCGCCACGTTCCACGACGGCATCGTGTTCAGCCAGCGGCCCGTGCGCCTGGGCGAGCGCGTGGCGCTGCGCCTTCTGCGGGAGGAGAGCGGCTGGTGCGGCGGCCTCCGCGTGGGCTTCACGCGCCTGGACCCCGCGTGCGTGTCCGTGCCCAGCCTGCCGCCCTTCGTGTGCCCCGACCTGGAGGAGCAGAGCCCGACGTGGGCGGCCGTACTGCCTGAGGGCTGCGCGCTCGTGGGGGACGTGGTCCGCTTCTGGGTGGACCGCCGCGGCCGCCTCTTCGCCAAGGTCAACGCCGGCTGCAGGTTCCTGCTGCGTGAGGGTGTGCCCGTGGGCGCCCCGCTCTGGGCCGTGATGGACGTGTACGGGACCACCAAGGCCATCGAGCTGCTGGGTGAGGCGACCGTGGGGACCCCGCAGGGGAGGTGGGGCGATGGGGGCTCCAGGGGCACCCTACTCCGATCCAGAGCCACAGGAAGAACGTTCACATTCAGTTATTCTGTCAGGCCCTGCCCAGTGTTAGCTGTGAAGATGGGCACTGGAGACACCAGATAGACAAGGCCCAGTCGTAGGGAGGGCAGTGTTGTCCCCAAAGAATGACAAGCAAATAGGCCCAGCATTCCCGCCATCTGTTAACCAAAACACCTGTTAGAGTGCCCACCTCCTTTTGCAAAGGAGGAAACATTTGGGCTGGGCTTTGCAGCCTAAATAGGAGTTCACTAGAGACAAAGGTGGCAAGCAAAGGGAACACACAGGTGAGACTAGAGGTGTGCATGGAGAGTGCCCGCAGGGAGAAAGCTGAGTCTCTCAGTCAGTGGGTGGGGAAAGGAGAGCCATCCCTCTAGCCACCCAAGAAGAAAGTGGATTTCAGGGGAGCACAGAGAGGCAGTAATACCCATAACAAGAAACGCTGGCATTCCTGGGCTGGGTGGTGGTCCACTCCCCACCTCGCACCAGCATATTTGTTAAAACCATTTGTCACAGCTGCCAGCGCCTCACACCTGAAGCACGTGATTTGCTGGGTCTGGGGTGGAGCCCTGACCCTGTGTTTGTCCAGGCTCTTGGGAGATGTTGATGCCCATCTGGGTTGGGAATGTGGCTAGGCCAAGGGGCTCCACTCAGGTAGTGGCTGGAGGGCAAAGAAGAGGGGCCTGAAGGAAGGTGGCTCAGGAGGAAGAATCTCCAGCCCCAAGGATTCTCGGATTCTCAGCTGGGTTAAGCTGGGGAAGGGATGGCCAGGACAGGGTCTTAAACTTTGGGGATGGGGGCTCAGCATTGTAACCCAGGAAAGGAAGGAGACTGGACACTTTGCTGCGGGGCCAGGAGCAGGGATGGGGGCACCTGGGCTTGCCGTCCTGGGCCTGAGTTTCTCTCTCTCCCTCAGATCCCACAGCCAGCCGGCTCCCAACAGCCATGCCGTGGGACCTCAGCAACAAGGCTGTGGCTGAGCCCAAAGGTGAGTGCTTTCGCAAGCAGCAGGGACTCCGCAGGAATCCAGCACCTGGGTGTGGAGGGAGAAGCCCCATATCCTGGTTGTTCATTCAAGTCTCTCTCAGGCTTTGGGCCAAAAGATTTGGCTCTGCCTACTGGAAACCTAAAAGCAACCTGGCGTATCTGCCTTTGAGAGCGTTGGCCTACTCTGTGAGCTAGAAGAGCACTTTTATGAACAGACAGTGTTATTCTTGCTTTAAAAAGTCATCCACATTCATTGTAAATGCTTTGCCGATGGAAATAGAGATGAAAGGATAGGTGGGGTGCAGTGGCTCACACCTGTAATCCCTATACTTTGGGAGGCCGAGGCAGGAGGATCGCATGAGCCCAGGAGTTTGAGACCAGCCTGGGCAACATGGCGAAACCCTGTCTCTACAAAAAGTACAAAAATTAGCCGAATGTGGTGGGGCATGCCTGGGTCCCAGCTACTCGGGAGGCTGAGGTGGAAGGATCGCTTGAGCCCAGCTGACTGAGGCTGCAGCGAGCTGTGATCACACCACTGCACTCCAGCCTGGGTGACAGAGTGAGACTGTCTCTAAAAAGTAAAAAAGATTAAAGGATAAAGAGGAAAATTAAAAAAAAATCACCCATTACCTCTTGGGTGGATTTTCTCCCGGTATTTTCGGTCATCGATATAGACGTGTGTATACGCAGGGACTTGTCTGTGCTTTGTTTTCCTTCTCTAAATTGGAATTTGATTGTGTGTGTGTGTGTGTATGTGTGTGTATATATGTTTTTTCCCCCCCTTTTTTTCACTTGATCACGCTGTAAGCATTTCCTCACGAGGTAACATTCTTCAAAATACAGCGACATGTTTCTCTGTCATTCTCTGTGGTCACATTGTGAGTGGGTTGCCCGCCCCTTCCCCCATGTGCCCTGACCTATGTTGTTCCCTCTTCCAGCCACACCAGGAGAAGAGTGTGCCATCTGCTTCTATCACGCTGCCAACACCTGCCTTGTGCCCTGTGGCCACACATACTTCTGCAGATGCTGCGCCTGGCGGGTCTTCAGGGATACGGCCAAGTGCCCCGTGTGCCGCTGGCAGATCGAGGCGGTAGCCCCCGCGCAGGGCCCTCCTGCTCTGAGGACTGAGGAAGGTTCACGAGAGGAGGCTTCCCAGTATGAGTGGCAGCCCAGGCCTAGATCTGAGTCCGGTCCCTGCAGGGGAAGGAGGCGCAGCGCTACCTTCTTTCTCGGGAAGAGTCAGAAGGGCTGATTAGCAAGAGGTGCGGCAGAGAGAGGAAGTCAGGGAGGTGCTGTCTGCTCCCTCCACCTGTTTTGCAACAGGGCAGCAAGGAAAAACCCCTTTCTGTCCATGCCAGAACTATCCTTCTGATGGGGTGCTTTGTTTAGAGACAGGGTGGCCCAATCTCGGGTTTTATAGCTGAGGGAGTTCAGGTATCTGTCGCTGGTGAGGCCCTGTACCTCCTGGGTACTGAAGAACCTGGACTCGAAGCAGGAGGTATCTACATGGAATGCGTCAAGTTCCACGTGGAAGCTGGGTTGCCTCCCACAAGTCCCCGGTAGAGTGGATCTGTAGTTACCCGCCCTGCCTCCCTTTGAGGGTGGGCGCGAGGTCCCAGCGAGACCAGGCATTTGAAGATGATTTATAACGTGAATGTGTATTGTTGTCACTGTGGTAATTTCCTTGCCAATTTCTGAGATATCAAAATAAAGTTTGTGTTTCCTGAAAGATTTTGTAGTGCCTGTGTCCTCTTGCTTGCAGCCTGGGAGTGGGGTGGGAGCTGTGGGCTGTTCAGGATGATGCGGCATTTGGGGACATGCCATTCTGTCTTCCCCACAATCTGGGCTTGTAGGTGGCCTGGGTGGGCCTCTGGGCACTCGGGCCGATGGACTGAGCACATGAAGGGGGTAATCTTGTAATTCCAGTCCTCAAGTCCCAACCAGACTTTTTGCTCTTGCCACCCTTGATTTTGGGGCACTGCCTTGAGGCTCTGGCCCCTGATTGCAGGCAGGAGTTGGCCTGGGAGCCCACCTCAGCAGGTGTCTCGCAGGGGCAAGCTGTGCCTGTGACTTTACTGTTGTTCCCTGCTGTGTGGCTGCTGGGGAGGCCACTCCAGGGGGAGAGGGCTACATGAAGGGAATCCGAACCTGTTGTGCCCAAAATGGAAAATATAGGAACCTCCACACACTGCCTTTCTGCCCACCGCATAGCCAAACAGAGGGTCAGGACGCTGGATTTGATGACACCTGAGTACCTTTCACTCTGAAGTGGGATCCCCTCACTGCCACCCACGAGTGCTCTGACCTGGGGCATGTGAGTTGACCTCCATGAGCCTCAGTTTCATCATCTGTAAAATGGAAATAGGATAATTTTCTTGTTAGTAAGTTGTGAGGAGCGTGAATATGCAACTTCTAACTGAGAAGGACTCAAAAATGGCAGCTCCCTTTCCCTGGAAAAGGCATCTCCCAGGCGAAGGTCCCAAGAGCGCACTGGGATAGTTATCAGGGGCCCTGTGTGAGTCCTAGCAGCCCACGGACTTTCACCAAGGGCCTCCAGTCACCCCAATACTTTGGAATGATTTCTATGGATCCTAAAGCAAGTATTTTCATGCTTTTAAGTGTCTTATTTTTCCCCTCTCTGCCCAGATAGCTTCAGGGTGAAGGCAGTACTTTAATCCTAATTCCAGTGAACACTACCTTATTAGGTAACATCTAGAAAGCCTGATTTTAGAAAGATCTCTAACCAGAGGTGGCCCTTCTGGAACCTCTGTAAACCCATTCTTCCAGAAAAACAGTAAAAATACTAGCAAAATTACCAAAATCAACTTTTTCAGAACTCTAGAAATTAACCAGAGGCTGACAATAATCTGAAGGATGCTTATCCGAGATAAACTGCTATACTTTGCTAAGAGCAGTGGGGTGTGTGGTGTTAACTCGTCCCACCCCTCTGCCTCTAGCTCCACAGTAGTCTTGAAAACCAGCAGCCTTGAAGCCACTCAGGGTGGATGCACAGACTCAGCTGGGAGCTCCTCGGGAAACTCCATCCCTAGACTATTGTCACTATCTGACCTACATCTTCATTCTCTGGAAAAGTTTCATTCGCAGGGCGTTGTCATTCTTTAACCCTACTTGGGGCCCTCTCCGTGGGAAACCCCTATCCCTGGGATATTTGCCAAACATAATCAGCTTCAATTGTTTAACATTACAGCTGCCTAAGTCTGTGATACTAGCTGAGGCAAACAAGAGCCTGGCCAGAGATTTAAAAGGAAGATCTGGCCGGGCGCGGTGGCTCAAGCCTGTAATCCCAGCACTTTGGGAGGCCGAGACGGGCTGATCACGAGGTCAGGAGATCGAGACCATCCTGGCTAACACGGTGAAACCCCGTCTCTACTAAAAATACAAAAAAACTAGCCGGGCGAGGTGGCGG